CTTGTAGTATGTGGACCCCTGAAAGGAGCCCTTAAAGGAACCCTTACGGGAGCCCTTACAACAGTCGTTAACGAAGCCCCTTACAGACCTGAGAGCCCTGTGGGAGTCCGTTAGCAGAAAACCTTTACCTCAAGGCCCTCAAGGCTCTGCAGTTAGGGCTTAGGAAATGGGGGGTTTAGGATTGAGTGGGGGTTCAGGGTTTAAAGCTTGGGAACAAGGTCCAAACCCTTAATCCGAGCCGCCCTAGGGCGGCAGAAGCAGCAGGATCGGATCATATGCGCCGGGGACGTTGGAACCGAACTCTACTTCGTCGCTGTCGGGGAGGCCTCCGTCCGTCCATGTACACGCAAGTTGCATTTTGGAGGCGTCTGGGTTGTAGTGTTGGGCCAACGATCTCACACAGCAGCTTCGACCATGTCTTGTTTACACCCGAAAACCTACAATTCGAAACTCCAAAACCCGAACCTCGCCCCAAAACCCTTAAGACGTAACCTAAACCCTAAACCCTAAACCCTAAAACCCCAAACCCTGAAACCCTTATGCCCTAAACCCTGAACCCTTCATGTCCAGGTTGAAGTTGCAACTTGGCGGCAAGAGACATGAAGCTGCAACAGGGTTTAGGATTTAGGGTTTAGGGAGTTTAGGGTTTAGGGTTTAGGATTTAGGATTTAGGGCTTAGGGAGTTTAGGAAAGTTTAGGGTTCAGGGTTTAAAGAACAGTTGGTTTTGGAGGGTTTAAACAGTAATGTAGGGGCCTTAATAATTGGAATAGGGTTCTGGGATATATTATACTATAACCATAATGAGGAATCCCCCCAAAAAAATAGTAGAGGTAATTGTTTAGGCCTCTACCTTAGTTGCCCTAACGCTCTGGCGCTCAGGATGCATCTGTCAAGGCTTTTTCGGCCCAAGATCATACAAAAAGGAGGCTTTGAAGCTTTGGGCTGCTATTGGCCTTAGAGAGGGTCTTGACGGTTTAGGGTTTAGGGTTAATTAGGGTTTAGGGTTTAGGGTTTAGGGTTTGGGACCCCAAATGCCAAGCCGAATTTAGGAGAAGCTCGAAACTCCGCGTTCGGGATTTACACCGGGCCGTTACGCGACGCAACTGCCGCAGACACCGACACGGGGTAGGATTTGTAGACGACGGCGCGATGCTTCTAGGTAGTTTAAGGTCAGGGTTTAGGGTTTCTAGCTTCCCCAGTAGTACCCTTTTGCACTTTTTCTGTCTGGGTTCCTTGATTAAAACTAAATCGTAGGAGAAATTGTACCCTTATTATTAAGGGCTACTGGGGAACCTAGGTTAGGAGATCTGTTTCTGCTAGACGATGCCGGAAGTCTCGACTCTACAGAGCAAGGGTACGAAATGATTCGAGCCGGGATTTTGAGGTTTAGGGTTTAGGGGTTTAGGTGTTTAGGGTTTAGGTGCATTCTTTTCTAGTATGTCAGAGTTGTTCAGGGGTTGAGTGTTTAGGAATTCGGGCTACAATCATAGAACCTTTAATAAAGGGGCCTCAATACTTAGAATCGGGTCTTGTTGGTATATTATACTACAGCTATAAACAAGGAACCCCCAAAACCCTATTGTAACTACTAAGGCCCCTACATTGGTGAATCTTCACGGGAACCCTAAACCCTAAACCCTAAATCCCAAACCCTAAAGCCCTATTCTAATTATCAGGGCCTCTAAACCCTAAACCCTAAACCCTAAACCCTAAACCCTAAACCCTAAACCGTGAATCTTTAGGGGAACCTTCACCCTGAGCGCAACCGACCCAGGTGGTGCCCAGCGGCCACGTGGAAGAGAGGGGCACAGTCATCAAGACCTTGCATGAAGGACTGGTTCAGCATGTAGAGCTTAGGTTTAGGGTTTAGGGTTTAGGGTTTAGGGTTTAGGGTTTAGGTGTAGGGTTTAGGGTTTAGGGTCTGGGTCTAGGGTTTAGGGTTAGGGTTTAGGGTTTAGGGTTTAGGGTTTGGGTTTAGGGTTTAGGGCATCTAGGAGAAGGTGGCATGAACTCACGGCGGCAGCACCAGACGATTACATTTTCTGGCATCCTATGACATGAGATGGCAATATAGACGGACAGGACAGAACATAACGTAATGCAGTAAAACAAATTCTAGTAGAACCCACTACAAACCCTAAACGCTAAGCCCTAAACCCAAACATCATATCAGAAGCTTCGAAAACGTCCAAGCCTAGTGGAGGATCCTTCTTTGGCGAGCATCCTTGCGGCAAAGAAGGGTGGTAGGGTTTAGGGTTTATAAGGATCCTGGGGTTCAAGGCTTTTTGGGCTTTTAGGGCTTTTTGGGTTTAGGGTTTAGGGTAGGGTTTAGGGCTTTTAGGGTTTATAGTGTTTAGGGTTTAGGGTAGGGACAAGGCTTTATAGGGTTTAGGGTTGAGGGTAGGGCTTTTGGGCTTTTAGGGCTTACCATCTAGGGATCTGACGCGTGTTGTCGGATTGGACTTGGGGGCTTATAAGGGACTTTTGGGTTCCAGCCTGCAGGTCGGTGTAGGGACTGCTGGATCCCTGTTGCTCCATGTAAGAAATATGGGTGGTTCTCAAAATTATGGTCCCTTTTGGGGTCCTTATTATAATACGGCACCTATTATTTAGGGTACCCCAAACGGGACCATAATTTGGACAACTACCCATATGCATACCGCACACACATGGGCTTGACCTACTTGTAGGGCTTAAAGTAGAGTTTGAGGCTTAGGGTTTGGGGCTCTGGGCTTTGAGTGTAAGGCTCAAGGGTTTAGGGTTTGTGGGCTTTTTGTGGTTGCTGGTCTGAACAGCTCTTTTGGCTTGTAAGCAGCTAAGTTGAGCAAAAGCTTTAAAGAATCCAAGCCTTGCACCTCAGAAGCCCCCATCAGCCCCAAACTCTAAACCTTAAGCCCTAAGCCCTAAATCCAGAACTCTAAACCCTAAACGCGCAACCCTAAACCGTAAACCCTAGACTCGACTCTCTCAAGCCTAAACCCTAAACTCTAAACCCTAAGTAAACCCTAACCCCTCCCCTTAGCCCTTCCTCCGTTAGCCTTGGCCATGGCTCCGGGTTCAGGGTTTGGGGTCTGTGCTCTTGGCTTTTGAGGTCAGGATTTACTGTTCGGGGTTTAGGGTTTAGGGGTTCAGGGCTTCGGGTTTAGGGTTTTGGGGTTTAGGGCTTTGGGTTTAGGGGTTTAGGGTTTAGGCTTTGGGATCTTCTGACTCAGTCTACATGATTGGCATATACTACCACAGCCGAGCACGACGAGTAACTCTTCCGACAGATCCTTAGTCAAGGGTTTTTGAAAACTTCCTCTGAACCCTCTAAACCCTAAATCCTAAACCCTAACCCTAAACCCTGAACCCAAACCCCAAACCCCAAACCCCAAACCCCAAACCCTAAACCCTAAACCCTAAACCCCCAAAACCCCTAAACCCCGAAACCCTAAATCCTAAACCCTGAACCCCTAAACCCTAAATCCTAAACCCTAAACCCTCAACCCTAAACCCAAACCCTCCTTTGGATCTTCGTTGAGTGGGCTCGATCTTCCCAGCCAGGCTCGGCCTACTGTTCCCGGACTCCAAGCACAAGGCGGCAAAAGTTTGCACTGTTTTTCGCCTGGTAGGCCTTTGAAACCACGGTTTAGGGTTTAGGGTTTAGGCCTTTGGGGACACTTTTACATCTCACTTGTTGGGCCGAAGAGGATCTTATTTATACGAAGATTTTTCAAACGGTCTAACCTACTTCAGGGGTGTTTAGGGTTGAAGGCTTCTTGACTTTATTCTGTCTACTGAAGAGTTTCAGAAAGTCACAGTAGGTTTGGGGCTTGGGGGTTAGGGTCCAAGAGGTTTGAGGGTTTGGGGGTCGTCTATGGTTGCAGGGCTTTAGGGAGAAGGGAGGTCTTGGGGCTGTTGGGGTGATGCTGGTTAGGAACCGCAAGGGTGCAGCGGAGTTTTTGCGGTTTGAAGGGTGTGGGGTTTAGGGTTTATAGGGTTTAGGGTTTAGGGTGGGAATCCGACTGTCCGTCATGATAAAACGACTGCAACGGGTGCTGTTTCATGCGCAGGTTGGTCGGCATGGTGCCGATCTTGCAAAACATCTAGGGTCTCAGTACCATAACCCTAAACCCTAAACCCTAAACGCTAGACCCTAAACCCTAAACCCGAAACCCTAAACCCTATAATTACCCTATAAACCCTAAACCCTAGCGCAATACCGTGAACCTCGCAGCTGAGTTTCACGGCTAAGTTCCTGTAGCCTATATCGAAACCCTCGGTTCTAAACCCCCCATCAAGGGTTCAAATCCCGAAGTACCATAGCCTTTAGGGTTTAGGGTTTAGGGTTTAGGGTTTAGGGTTTTATCTTTGCTCTAGATGAAGATAGGCTGTGATAGTTTGAGCCCCTCAACCGTAGCCCACAACTTGATTTCAGGGAGTTTAGGGTTTAATTTGACCGACCTGAATAGACTTAGTAACGTATAGTGCGGGCTTCAGAATTCGGGACCGCAGGAGCGTCAACACGTGTGCTATATCTGCAGGGTTGAACCTTGAGGACTGATTTCAACTAGTATTAAAGCCCTTTTGCCGTCCCTTTTCATAAACACCTGAAGCCCTACTCTAAGCACTTGTGTAATCATGTTGCCCTCCTTCACACCAACAGGAGGGCAAGGACGGCAGTAGCAGTTTCATGTTTTCAGACAGCCTCAAGATTTTCGAGTCTAACTGTTCGTTGATTGTTGCCACTGGCAGTGCTGTCGCCATTTGTTTCAGCTATCCTTGCCGTGGGTTTAGGGTTTAGGGTGTGCAGTCTATGCCTGATCTGGTGGTTCGGGTCTCTCAGCTTTTGGGGCTTGCTGTAACAGCTTAACGCTTCGGATTTAAGATTCTGGACTTCTTCCTGCCCCTAAACCCTGAACCCTAAAACCCTAAACCCTAACACGCTAAGCCCTTAAAACCGTAAAACTCTACTCCCTAAATCCCTAAAACCCAAAACCCGAAAGCCTAAACGAAAAAGGTGGACGTCTATGGCCTAACAGCCGGCTGGCTGCTTGTCGTACCTCGGGGTACTCTGGCGCCTTGCCAGCAGGTAAGAGGTTCGGCATATCAGGGGCCCTAAACTCTAAACCCTAAACCCTAAACCCTGGACCCAAACCCTCAACTAACCAGACCCCCCAATGGCCCTTTCATAGAGCCTTTATGGTCCTCAATAGTGGGTATTTGGGGGTATATTAGAGGGTAGTGGTACTCTTCTGCGGGTTCCTTATTATAAGTACCGTATGATTATACCCCAAAACCTTGTGTTAATTTTTCGAGGCCTGTATATTCATGTAGAACCCTTGGTTTTTATATAAGGGTCTTTTCAGTACTCAGTACCTCTTTAGCACGGTTTCTGGAAGCTCCTTCGTTTAAGTCTGGACGAAACCAAATGGGTTTAGGGTTTAGGGTTTAGGGTCCGTCGTTGTTGACTGCTCGAGATGGTGCAGGATGGTGTCAATCAGCAGCAGTATTTTAGGTTTGTGTCAGGACAGGGGAGGTTTAAATGCCTCTTTTGTGGGTCTTGTGGTTTTTCGGGGCACAGTGCTCAGCATTCGGCGGAGTGTTTCTGTCTGGCATAGCTTGGCGAGTTGAGTTGTCGCTATGTATCAGAAGTCGAGGACCGAATGAACCTAAAGTAGAAGCCGCAAAGTTGGAACATGATTATCCTCATGCCCTTAAGATAGAGTATAAGGGATCCTGGCACTAATCCTCCTAACCCATGTTCCAATTTTCAGGGATTCCCTTATTATCGTCGGTGCTCCTGGGTGCATAGTACAGATGTCAAAAACGGGATACTGAGATGACCTGATGGCCCCTTGGCACTTCTGCTATGCTGCCTGGGATTCAGGTTGAGCATAGTGCTGCTCGCTCCTAGCAGGATGCTCTTTGAAACAGGAATGTGGTTACGGTTAGCGATGATCCGCGAAATCGCCATAGTCCTCGATATATGTACATACACACACTTGTATATACATACCTTAAACTACCAAACCCTAGTTTTTTGTAGGCTCTTATTCTGAACCCTAATATGGAAACTATAGGGACCCTACAAACAAGTAGGTTTTGGTAGGTTAAGGTGTATACAGAATATACATACATACGGACAACGTGCCTCAATGTATCCGAAAGTCCTATGGCTTCCCACGCTGGCTTCCTCAAGCTCTTGGAAGGGTGAAGCCACAGCCTCGCCAGGAGAAGTTCTGCACAGAGGAGCTTTTAGAGACGTTCCGGCTGCTTGGGCTTAACATTGGGGCCTTAATAATTTGTGCGTAAAACCTGGTTTGCACTGATA